TTATTGCTATCATCATTATAATTATCATTATTATGAAGGGTATTTCCATTATCAGTAGTATTATTGTAGTAATTTTCTGAATTACTATCATTATTACTATTATTACTATTATTGTTATTATTAGAAAAGGTATTATTATCATCATTATCATTGTTACTATCGCCACTATCATTTGCATTATTATTATTGTACATCATTATTATCATTATCATTATTATTACTATTATTGTTATTTTTACTATCTTTAGTATTATTACTTCTATCATTCTTCTTATTGTTAGCATTATTATTACCATCTTTATTTTATTACTTTACTATTACTATCATACTACCATTATCATTGTTATTATTATTAACAATACAACTACTACTACTATTGTTATCATTATTACTATTACCATTATCAATATGATATTACTACTACTATTATTATTACTATCATTATAATTATTTTCTTTATTATCTCTATTATCATCAATATTATTATTATCAATATCATGACCTTTACTATTACTATTATTATCATTACTATCATTACTACTGTTACTACTATTATTGCTATTATTATTATCACCATCATTTTACTGTATCATGACTGTTATCATTTGTATCATTATTACGATTATCATTGTTATTTTCATTATCATTATTTTCTATTATTATTATCACTATCAATATCATTATCAACATCGTTATCATTATTGTTATCATTATTGTTATGGTTATTACCATCATTATTATTACTATCTTTGTTGTTTTATTATTATCATTTTTACTATCATTATTCTTGGTAGGCGTATTAACAGCAGTGTATTACCATGACGTTCATTGCTGCTATATATATATATATATATATATATATATATATATATATAATATATAATATATAGATAGATAGATAGATAGATAGATATATATATATACATATTTATGAGCACACACACACACACACACACACACACACAACACACACACACACACACACACACACACACACACACACACACACACACACACACACGCTAACTACTTAGGGCGTCTTCTGTACGTGCCATAAACGTGCCGTCATAAGGACTATTTCCTTCAATTCTTTTTTTTCTGATTTTTTTTTTTTTTGAGCGAGTTGTCAATTTTTCGGTCAGACAATAATGATTCTTATCGTTTAAAAACCTTTCCGTCAACTTTCTCAGAGCTTGGATAAATAGAATTAATTGTAACACAAAGAATATGAAATTAAATTTAGTATATATATATTACAAAACAATAGATAAGCAAATATAAAATATCTTACTCATTGAAATTAATAAAATTTGTTTTGTTTGCACCATTGTTTACATCCGCGAGAGCAGTGCGTGCCATTTCTCTCCAGTTTCGATACCATTATGGAACGTATTGATTCTCCTGTCTGGACATCCCTTTCTGAGGAATTTCTCAACGACACTATTCGTCAGATTCGTTGCCTCTGGGATGTCAGAGATGGCGAGTACACGAAGAAGGAATTGAAAGGATGGCGTGCAGAGATGGCGAGTACACGAAGAAGGAATTGAAAGGGAGGCGTGCCGTGATATTTTCGTTTCGTGTGACTTCGTGAAAGGGTGAAAAAGGCGCCTCAAAAGGTTGAGGATTTGTGAAAAACTGACAAAGAAAAAAAAAAATGACTGGAAGAGTGTTAGTGTTGACAGCACCTTAAAGGATTAGTTCGGTATTAAAGTTTAATCCAGATCTCTAGTGCGCCAAAAGCTCAAAATTAAATCCTGCACATGATTGGTAGCTAATCCCACCAACCATGCACTCATACGTAATGACGTCATCAACATAGAAAAGATGGAATTGAGTTGCTATTGATGTTTATTACAGGCAATAATAACACAAATTCTTACATTTTTATTTTAAAAACGTATATGAAAATTCATCAACGTATACTCTCCTAAGTTGTGGGATACTGAAAATGCAGTTATAACTCTCAACAGTGACAAGAAAAAACGAAAATAAAATCCCACATAGAATTCCATACATATACAGAAAGGCAATGCTATATTCAGGTTAGAAAAACACTCCTAACTTACACAATACATCAATAGACTTACGAACAAAGCTTTCAATAACGATTAGATTTCACATTCAAAGTACAAACCTCCTGAATCCTCTTATTAAAATGACTCTAAAACCGCGGGGAAATGTGTCATATTCCTCGATAGCAACACCCTGAAAACTACTATCCTCGCAGAATATAAACAAGATGTTACGAGTATCTTTTGTTTGACACCTTACAGTTGCCTATAAAAAATCAAAGGGTATTTAATACCATTTATATCTATTTGTAGTGACACAAATTCATATCTTCATGATCTAATACTACCGTATATGTGTATATATTTTTTTTTTCTCTGCAGCAAACTCGTTATCAACAGCAGTGATATAAAACTCAAAGAGGGTGGCTGATAATTGCCAGATCACAAATACCCTGCTCTTGTTTGTAAAAAAGCAGATTTACGGAATT